TCTTTCTTTTGTAAAGCTTTGTTCAATTCATTTGTAAGAAGCAACATCTTGAACATCAAATGCAACACAAAGATAATTCAAATTCTTGAATTTTATCTAAAAGGTTACCTGCCGCAAGTTTATCAAGATCATGTGGAGAATCTTCTTTCATATCTTTAAGCACATTAGCAATTGAAGAAAATATAATCATGAAATTTTTCAAGGTCTTGAAATGGGATCCCCAACGAGTATCACCCGGTCGTTGGAGGCCACGTTCTTGATTTAATCCTTGTCCGGTAAGAATTTCTCCAGATTTAAGCAATTTTTCCAACTTCTCAACTTGGTGTTGTCGAAGTAAGTCCCTGTGTTTAAAAGATGTCCCAATAGTATTCAAAACATTAGTGACAACATAAAAGAAAATTTTCACATCCGGATGTTTTTTAGAAAGAGCCACAAGTGTCAATTGCAATTGGTGAGCAAAACAATGAATATAATATGCAGACGGAGCATCTTGCAAAATCAAAGACTTTAGGCCAATTTTTTCTCCTTGTATATTAATAGCTCCATCGTTCATAACCTTTTTCACGGAGTCTTGATAGGCATAACGAGTGATCCAAAAGTAAAGAGTAAATTACTTTTTGCAATGATCTTGCCGATGTATCACCCACATGAACAATACCCAAAAAGCTTTCTATCAACTCTCCATTTTTGTTAACATATCGTTAAACTAGTGTCATTTGCTCTTTATGTGAAATGTCATTTGACTCATCAACTAGTATTCCAAAATAATCACCATCCAAGTCTTTGATGATAGCTTTAATTGTTTCTTTAGTACAAGCATCCACAATCTCTTTTTGAATTGTTGAACAAATCATCATATCATTTTTTGGAGCATATTGTAATATCACTTTTTCCACATCCGGACGATTAACCCCATGAAATTTCAAAAGTTCAAGAAAAGACCTTTGTAATCGGAATCTTCACTCTCATCATGACCACGAAATGGCAATCCATTTCTTAGGAGAAACCTTACCACATCGATCGATTGAGGCATTTAAACAAATTCGATAATCACTTTTTGTTTTTTCACTTTGCTTATGAAGAGAAGATTGAATTGATTGACGTTGATTCGCAAAATCAAGCATCGTATTCAAACATTTGTTATGAATACTATTCACCTCACCAACATGCAATCGAATTCTTTTCGGACCATGGTTTCAATTCTTAAAACCATCTTGTGTAAATGATTTTTCCGCATTACCACGACTTTCAAATTCATTCTTGAAGAGATAACAACACAAACAAAATATAGCATCATCATCTATGCTATATTCCAACCAAGCAGAATTTGGAGCATTAAACCACTCAGGATTAAATTGCCGATTCCTAGTCCCAAATGTTGTTTTAGGATATACACGAAATTTTAATTGATAAGGCCCCGTCAAAATATAATGTCTTCTCACAACATCTCGAATATTAGAATCATATTCAAAGATGGGTTTTCTTTCTCCGGGATCCCGTTTGAGAGATCCAACCCCAAGAATACAATCAGCATTTGAAGAACAAGGTGTAATTGTCTCTCTTTGAGCTTTTGGAGCTACATGTGAACTAACAGATGGACCGCTACTAGAACGTGGTTGCTTAATCAAAAATTTATCCATTTAGATATTCAAGGATAAATGTTCCTACAAATTCAAATAACTATTCAACTTAGTCATAAATTTAACTAGCAAAGTTAAAATAAAATAAGAGAATCGCATATCTTTCAACAATAAAAAAATAGGAAAAAATTACTTAAATACACAACACTTCTTTACCTATTCTCAATATTTCCCTACTCTTTTACTAAAATACAAAAATCCCTTATTTCCCCCCAATTCAACTTAACCGGATACTTTATTAGATTAAGTATCAGCCCGTTATTAATTAAAGTATATGTGCTGCTATATTATGCATCCACCCATTAATTTAAGTATCCGCCCGTTATAAATTAAAGTATCCCGTTATTAATTAAAGTATCCGCACTATTAATTAAAATATCCGCTGCTATATTATGTATCCGAAAAACACTAAAAAAAGGGATTTTTGGTAATTAATGAAAGAGTAGGGAAAGGAAGTAATTTCTTTCTTATACTATGTCATTTGCCTAATTTTTACATTTTAAGTGTCATTATTTCGATTATAAGATATCATTTTCTCCATATATTTATAGCAGAAACAAAATCAAGTACAAAAAACAGAGGAAAAACGCAGAGAAGCTGAAAAACGTAACTAAAATCGCATGGAAAAAAATGCAGAGAGAGAAAAACTTACCGAGAATCGCAGAGAACAAACGCAGAAAAGATATGCAGGGAGAAGTGAAGAAACGCCGGAGGAGAAAGAAGAAAAAGAAGAGAAAACAAGTTTTTGTAGTGTAGGGCTTTTGTAATGGAGGGTAATATTGGAACTACAAAAATATATTAGGGATATGAATGGTTTTTTAACCTTTTATAAATTTGTTTTTAATTTTACGTCTAAGAATATATATATATATATATATATATGTATATATTATTTTTTTATTTTTTTATTTTTTTATTTTTTTTATTTTAATCTTGTTAGTTTGTTTATTTAAAAGAGAAATCATAAACTAAAATTACCTTAAATTTTGACAATGATGATTTCTCTAGATTCTTGACTTGAAGTTGGAGACTTGAAGCTTCTTCTTTGTGTGGAAAATAAAAAACAAATTTGAAGAGAGAAGAAAAATATTGTTGGAACTTGGAACTTGAAAAGTGGGTGGGAAGGAAACTTTTGAAGTCTTTGACTTTTAGAACTTTTAGAATTTAGCTTCTTCTTCTTCTTCTTTTTAATGAAAAATGTGTTTTTAGTTAATAAAAATAAATTGAAGCGAATTGGGGCTACCTGAGTCGAACTTACGACCTTTGTGTTGAAATCTTGCAATCGTACCAGTGAACCATCCAGCCATCTTGAGAATGGGTTCCACAAGTTTTAATTTAATATATTCTTTAATAATTATAGAAGTAATATATCGAGTTTAGTCGGATGACCACAAGTTCCGGGACCCAAAATTTATACATAAATTCGCCCCTGCTATGGAGTATAGATAGATAAGTATTTCACTTACATTGTCAGATTGGATGTGTATTTAAATTCAATTAGTCAAGTAAAGGAGTATTTTTAAGGCTATCAATAGTTCATGAAACTAATAATTCATGTCGACTTTAAGAGTGTTTTCAATACTTACGGTGATTTTATTTATTTATGTTGTTGTAAACAAACAATTTTGGTAGCTTTCTCGTTACATATATAGATGAATATTAGTCTAAAATAACATGATGATGACAACAAAATAGTGGGCAGGGCCGTCTTAACCCCTAGGCCACTAAAGCCATCGCTTGGGGCCCCATATTTTTTGGGGCCCCCGTTTTTAAAAAACAATTACTTATATATATTATTATTTTTTAAAAAAAATATTATATGTACTATAAGTGCTATGATTTCTACTAAAGAAATTGCATATGACATGAATACAAATATAATTTTCGTAAGAAACAATTTGATGAAAATATGGATAACGAAATCACTAAGTCCCTCGAAGAATCTTTAGAGTTGATTACGTTATATATGTAGAGTAGATCAAACTATTTTTTCACTTTAAAATAGATTTGAACCAATTGAAGCATATAAAAATATTTTTGATTTCTTATTTAGTGGTAAAATATTGAGATTACTAGATGATGAAATTTTTTTAAAAATATTGTCTTAACCTTGAACTTTCTTTAACACATACTAGTTATTCTGAATTGATGGTTTAGATTTATTTTTTGAAGTAAAAGTGTTAAAGATAAACAATACAAGTAGAAGATAATGATGTAATGAAAATACTCAATCAAATAAAAGATTTGATTCTTTTCCAAATACACATATTGTGTTAACAGTTCATAACCATTGCCTCAACCAAAATTTTCTCCGTTCGAAATTAAAATTGATTAAATTTTCTTTAAGATCAACAATGTCTCAAGATAGATTGAATGAATTAGCTATATTATCATTTGAAAAGGAATTATTAAAATAAATTGATTATAAAACAATACTTAATAACTTTGCATCTGAAATAGCTAGAAAAGTATACTTTAAATAAAAGTACATATGATGAAAAAAAAATTTAGGACCCCTCTCTTAAATTTTGCTTTAGGCCCCCAATGTTATTGAGTCGGCCCTGCTTTTTATGATATAGTTATTTAATTTTTACTTGATTGACCTATAGTGTCTATTGAGTATGTGTGTTATCATACTCATACACCCATATTAAATCTTTTGATGCATACCCTAGCACTAGCGAGCACTATTGATTCTCTGTCTGAGGTGATGTCCTTCGGAGGCCTCGGTGAGCTCTTTGTCTTTAAGGATGGACATTCAATTCTTCGAATCAACTCTTTCAAACTCTGGTTCATTTCGAGTTTTGATTTTTTAATAGTGTGTGTCGAATACCAATCGAACTACTTCAATTCGGTTGGATTCGATTCATTCTAGTTTCGTTTTCCAATATACCATATAAATACATCATTATTGATGCTGAAAAAAGATAAAAAATTTGACATAAGTTTACAAAGAAAGTGTTTTGCTCTTTCAGAGAATATTTAGGTTGTGCAAAAAGAAAAAAAAAATCATCTATTTCGACGGACACATTACTAATCGTTTTTACCAAGTTATATGAGTTGCAAAACACTTACGCTAAAGAGAAAATCCATAAATCTCCTAGACTAACATTTCAATTAAATGTTTCATAACTATTCAAGGTAATATTTCATTTGAGATGCAATTACTGCATCATTTTTACCAAAATTATAAGACAATTTTTACATTGAAATGAATGATAACAAAAAGGCCGTGTCAGTGCATCGCACTGGTCAAGAACTAATACAGAAGTTCGTTTTCATGCTCAAATCACTCCATGTGCTAAATTTAATGAACGTTCATTAAGAAAAATTAACGTTCCAACACATCTCCAGAACATGTTTCTTTAAAGCACAACTCTTTACTTTCATTCAAAGCACTAAACATTCAAGTGAAATTTGAACAATGAGTAGAGTACTTTATTTTGCTGACAGCAGTTAAACAAACAAAACAAATTCAACTGTTTTCGGCAAGTCTTGCACAAACTGATAGCAGTCAATTGGCTGCTTAAATTTTTTTATCCAATTAAACAAGTAGATAGCACATAGATTTACTCCTCGGCAGTCACACTTCGATCTCCTTCACAGGAACCAGACCCTCACTCCCTCCCTCCCTCCTGCTCATCTTGGCACTTCAAAGGCAGCACTTCTGCTCATCTTTGCACTCCAAAGGCTGCTTAGAGCAATCAGAACAAAGCAATTCCAAACAAAAAGTCTCCACATATTCAGTGTTATTTATACATCTCCCACATTCACTACACCGTAAGATGCAAAGTGAGCAGGCCCTACATTCTTTAGTAGCTTCATCTTTCACTAGGCAACCCTCTGCAGGACAATCATAGACCAACCTTACTTTTTTACATATAGGGCAAAGTTGAACATCAATAGCCCGACTGTCATCAACCAAACGATAAATATTCCTTCGAGAAAAGAAATGGGGTTTGTAAACATTTTGCCTCGTCTGGCTATCTGCACCTAGAAGAAACTCCAGCTCTTCAAAATGTTCATGCATCACTCCATAAAGACCGCCAATCCACAGGTTCTTTATACCCATTTTACCTCTTTGACAGTTAAAAGACTTCAACATATTTACAATGCCTTCAATACTGAGTCTTGTACATGCAGGAACAAATAACTGCATGAAATAAAAATAAGATTAATAAGCACAACATTGTACATTAACGCACACACTACAAGTAGCAAAAGGGACCTTGTACCGAAGAAACTATTCGGGATCGTTTGGTAGAGTGTATTAGAAAATATAATGCAAGCATAAATTCTGTGTATTAGTAATACTTTGTTAGGTACACTTGTTCATGCTATGTATAACTACAATCTATTGTGTATTACCAATACCATGGAATTCTAGGTATTAGTAATGCAAGGGATTTTAATGCATGCATTAGCATGGTTAAAGACTCCATTGCCCCTCAAAATCTTTTACATCTTTTCCACTATAAGAGTGAAGGGTATCTTTGTAAATAAATGTTTGTATGCAATGCATACTATTTTTAATACACAAAACCAAACAATGCATAATTAATAATCTATGTATAATTAATGCAAGCATTAATAATACACTCTATTTAGCATTATTCTTATACACTCTACCAAATGACCCCTTAATAGCAAAAGGGTATTGATCCTGCACTAAACAGTCTGTCTAGCAAGAGTACTTAGCACTAGGCACACGAGAACGAAAATGAGGAAATGACAGAACCAAACAGCCTAACATGCAACCTGTGAGCAACCAACATGAAAATCGAGGGCATCAATCTAACAGACTTATGTTTCCATCCACAATTCAAACTTCTGCAAGTAAAAGCTAAAAACCGTAAAACATGGCTTTAGTCTCCTCAGTTAGGTAATGCAAAGAATACAATGACCATCAGAAGTTCAGATTCTGCTTACAATTTAAAACAAGGGAATGATGGTGATAGAGTCATAGAACTACATCCAGATTGATATCGGAGTCATTAGACAAAATATGTATGAATCATGTTCTAAATCACATAACTTCCATGAATAAGAGTGCATTTAGGAAGTTCAAGTTAGTCCAAAAGATATTCAAGCTGCACTGTGACAGACATCAGTAAGCAATTTATGTCATTCGCTTTTTTTTTTTTTGATAACCGAGAAATCCATCAGTGACCCGCCCCCTTTCGACCAATCAGACCAACATTTCAGTCTTTCACTTAATATTCAGGAATAAATGGCTAAAATGCAACATGTATTTACTCCAGAAACAAAGCAGGTCATTAGAATGTTTTTAAGTGCATCATGTTGCAATAGAAAAGAAATAAGGGAGGTTTGTGATGATTTTTCAATCTTTTCTACTAGGTAATCTAGTATCCTTATGCATGAAGAAAATCAATTCGGTCGTTGTGGTCGGACTCTATTATGGATTTCTGACCACATTCTCCATAGGGCCCTCTTATCTCTTCCTTCTCCGAGCTCTGGTTATGGAAGAAGGAACCGAGAAGAAGGTATTAGCAACAACTGGTTTTATTACGGGACAGCTCATGACGTTCATATCGATCTATTATGCGCCTCTGCATCTAGCATTGGGTAGACCTCATACAATAACTGTCCTAGCTCTACCATACTCAACAAGCATACAACAACTATGCCATCATAGTTAGAACCACAAACACCACAAATATATTAAGAAACATAACGTAAAATGAACATGAACAACAAAGTTACCAAGATAAAAAAAAAAATGAAGATGAACAACTAACCTTTGTCAAATGTGGATTAGAGTCAAGTACCCGCCTCAAACCGTCATCTGTGATGCGGGTACACTCTAACAAACTCAAGCATTGTAAGTTACCTTGAGCCCTGCTAGTCAATTGCAAGAGGATATCATCGCTGATCTCAGTCAATGAATTTTCAATGTGAATGCTTTTCCATAATAAAGGATCATTTTTTACAGTAAGCCGCAAGGACCTGCAAACACTTTCTACCATCAAAAGATCCTTCACTCCAAGGTAACCAAGAGCAAAAGATAAAGCCTCATGAGGGGCTCCTTCATCTTCACCAGAGCAAGACATCGCCCCAGACCCTGTTTCCATGGTCTGGGGAAGAAAACTGACTGAACCTACATTATTGAAGCCTGCAGTGTCCCCCACATTGCAAGCTGAGCCAAGACCAACATGGGCCAAGGCGTCCCTCATATCTCTCTCCCCAATAAGCCAATTCACTGGATCACCTCTATTCAGTTTGTCATCAGACCGAACGTGATTAATAGGGAATGATTGGAACCTCATAGAATCGTTCCAAATAAAATCAAAACCGGCAAATAAACCATAGTCCTCATTACTTGGACCGGCATGGTTTCTCCTACATCCTCCATAATCAACTTCCAAATCCTCAAGCCAACCCGTAATGGCTGTGATAGTGGTGCTTATATCCATCCCAAATGGATCAGCAGGGAGAAGATCAATGATATCCTCCGATACCAACTCAGAATAATCACACTTGTCTCTTCTTTTCCCCCCATAACCATATTCAAACCCGTCATGCGGTTCTCGACAAACACGCCACGACCAAGGAAAATTCTCCACATTATTCTCCGGAACACCCTCGACTAAACACCCATTCACAATTCTCATGGGTGATACCAAATTATCCTCAGATATATGTGCCGGAAATATGGGCCGATGCGAAAAATTTAACGCCATTTATGGTTTAGATCAACTCTAACAACAGCTAAAAAGGAATACTCTAAACACCTAAAAGTAGGATTTTTTTTTTCTTTTTCTTCTTTATGTTTTTTTCTTTTTTCTCTCTTTTTTGGTGACGCGAAGCTTATTAGATTCAACAAGGAAACCCTCAATTTCGGATGGTAAACTAAAAGACAACGCACCTAAAATCTCACAGAGCTTCTTGTAACAAAAAATCTGAATAATACAATAGAATCAATCAACGAAACAACACCTGACTTCTTTTTTATTTTTCAAAATTTTTACTATACAAATCAAATAATAAGGAATCAATGAATATTTGACAGAATAGGAAAACTTAACAAGCTAGGGTTTAGCAAAAGAATGTGTAAAGAGAATAAATCGAAAAAAGTGATAGACAAAAGAGCCTGATTCAGCGTAAAAATACAAACCCTAATTTGCTCAGCGAAGAACACAATCGACAGACAGAAAGGCTGAAATCGTCGATTAGAGCAGATGAAAAATCGGGAAATTGAAATTCCTCCGAAATCAAATCAGATTCAAAAAAAGTAACAAGGATAAAGAAGAAATCTGCCGATCGAGCTCAAAGAGAGCGAAATAGGAAAATTCAAAGAAATATAGAGATAGAAAATTTGAGGGTAGTTGTTTGGGGAGTGGGGGTGGGGGTTTGAGGGTAAGGGTAAGTTTTAGGAGAAATTGTGTATTGAAATGAGAGAGTCAAAAATTATACCGACACGTGTCCGGTGACTATCTCTTACTTGTATTACGCTAAAAGTCGTGGCGGGAATGGATTTCCCTCCTTTTCGACTCAATTTTCTCGCTTCAACACCTTTTTACATTTTTCTTCTCCATTCAATTAATATTTTTATTTTTCTATCTCATAATAAATAATAAAAACTTCTTACCAATGCTTTCATTTCATCAATATTTAATTGTTTTACAAAATTATAATAGCATAGTGTTTGATTGGATGTATTAAAAAAATAATAGCCCCTATATATGTAATCTTTGGTTGAACGTATTTAATAATTTATCTGAATATTATTTTATGTGAAAAATAAATTATTATTATTTTATAATATTGAATATAATTGACTAAATACAAAATATAATATGAAAATCTTTTATAATATTATAAAAGTATTCTTAAAATAGAAATGAATCAGACAATGATTTTGAAGTGGATATCAATGAAAAGAGAATAACTATTGATATTCCTGAAGAGTATAGGAATTTCAAGACTTCAAGAAGACATTTCAATAGGTCAAACAAGCGAACTAAAAGCACAACTATTGAATAGGTTTATACTGACAAAAAAGAGCCATATATATAGGATATGATAAGAATAAATGTTGGTAGTAAGGATAGCTTATTAAGTAAGCTAAGCGAAGATGAACTTTACTATCCAAGTGATGAAGGTCCTAGCTTTGAATTAGAGTAACAAATAGGTTGAGGTAATGGTAAGGAGGTTGATCAAGTTATGAATAAATCTATTAGAAAGAAGACCAAAAACAAAGTTGTGTTTGATCCAACTTTTAAGAAGATTGTTACGAAACAGATTTGGTGTTTGCAAGTGTATGAGAATTTAGGAAAGCAATAACCAATATGTGTTATCTCTTGTATTCAGGTTAGTAAAACACAGAAATAGAAACATAAAAGATGAAATAGAAAGACAGAAAACAAACAATCTCAATCTACAGAACTCACTGTGTATCCTTAAGAAATTTCATTCCCTCAAGTATCCAAGGTTATAGATTAATTCCTCCCAAGATAAAACGGATTAACTATTAAAGAAGTAGTGGTACCTCAAACTTAAATAATTTCAGCGAATTCAATAATCAGCAACGAGAGTAAACACACAGACTCGATCAAACGACAATTATATTTGTAAGAAAATGTATGCAGAAGAGAGAAAATTTTTGGTGTTCGAAAATGAGAGAAGTCTCTCTATTTATAGTCAACAACAAGTGTGAAAGCACCTGTTAAGACAAGACAGGTCTGTTCAAAACGTTTGTGTCTTTTGGGAAAAAAATTGTATGTTCGAAATAAAAATGTCCCTACTGAGCGACTATACTGTTACGAGAAATCAATTTCGTTAATTAATTAATTAATGTTCTAAATTAATTTTAAGAAAAAGGAAATTAATTGATGCGATTGATTAAAAAAATTGCCTAAAAAATTATCAATCAATCAAATTATTTGCCAAAGCCAAAGCCGAAGTCGAAGCTGAGCGACGACGACGACTGTAGACTCAGTCGATCGAAAATTTTATCTGTAAGAAAATGTATGTAGAAGAGAGAAAATTTTCGGTGTTCGAAAATGAGAGAAGTCTCTCAATTTATAGTCAACAGCAAGTGTGAACGCACCTGTTAAGACAATACATGTCTGTTCAGAACGTTTGTGTCTTTTGGGAAAAGAAGTTTTTGTTCGGAAGAAAAATATCCCTTCTGAGCGACTTTACCGTTACACGAAATCAATTCTGTTAATTAATTAATTAATGTTCTAAATTAATTTTAAGAAAAATGAAACTAATTGATGAGATTGATTAAAAAAAATTGCCTAAAAATTATCAATCAATTACATCATTTGCCAAAGCCGAGCGACGATGACGGCGCGAGGGGGCACTTAATACTTAACCCTTTAACAACTAAAGGAAGTGTTTCCTAATATAAGGACAAACTTTTTCCTTTGTTCTTCCAATATGAGAGAAATGACTTTTCATTTTCCCTCCAAATTGGTTCCCCCACATTTCTCAGTTTCTCATTCATTCTTATTTCACATTCACACCTTGCTTAAACTCAATAAACCCCCACATGAATGGGGAATGACTATTGTGAAAACATATGCATGAAAAACTTGTGTGTCTCGTACGTAAGGATTATTTGCATCTGGATAAGTAGGTTTCCCTTTGAACTTTCCGTAGTGAATATATATCAGACATACTCGGTCAATCGGTAGATTTGATATCTTTGAACTGTCGAGCTTTGATGTATATATAGACAACATAAGTCACACAATCAACCATTGAAATATTTTTGGTTCTCATTGTTTTGTTCGTTTCAACCGTGAACACGTCTTGGTTAATAAGTGCTTAGAGAAGTGGCCTTACCAAATTCTCCTTGAAGCGGCTTACACTTCACACTTACATAGGTGATTTATATATGTGTTATCCCGTAGATACAATATTTGATATACCATGTATCAAACTTAGAAACCATTAAAAAGTCCTAATGTATTTATCTTGGTTACTGAGCATTGTCTCATCGTGAGAATAGATCATAAAATAATTTTTGACAATGTTGAACCATCATCTATGACTGTGTTTGATCTCCTTGAACCTAGATCTTGGGATCTCCAGTCTTCTAGGTAGAGTTACCGCCATAAGGACTTGTCCTCGGCCATAGTCCCATTCCCGTCGATGATCTCTCAACTCACTCTCTAGTTAGGCCTTTTGTAAGTGGATCCGACACATTATCCTTTGACTTCACATAGTCAATTGTGATCATTCCACTAGAGAGTAGTTGTCTAACATAGTTGTTTTTTGGGTTCTTGTCTTTTTGTTTCTTTTGTTTTTATTAATATTTCGTTGATGATTTGGTTTTTTTAAAATGAAATATGGTATTAAAGACTTGATCTTGATACATTAATGTTGATAGACAAGAACCTTTGTTTTTGTAGTCAATTACAAGTTGTTTATGAATATGTTTGCCTTCTAATTTTTTAATCTCGCCTCTTTGTCAAATACTTTGTAACTTATTGATTCCCATATTGTTGTAGTAGTATATAGAAGGAATTATGTAGCTTAAAATTTATGTACAACCGTCATAACTCGCATTAGTAGTTTGTTATATTGTGGTATGTATGATGAACATTATAGAAGAGATTTATTGTATGTGCAACTAATGTTTATGAAATATTAATGTTATATGGTCATTGGGTCAAGTGGGAGAATGTAAGAATAATTCTTACTCATGGCCCAAGTTTACTTGTGGCCCAAGTTATATTATAAATAATATTTAATGAAGAATAGATCTCATCCGTACATCGATTACTTGATGGACGTATTGGATTAAGTCATAACCTCTATAAATTGGTCCTCCCTCCACCCATTATGATTACTACATGTTTTCTACATTAATTTCATTGCTAGCGGTTGTGGTAACATAAGGTTAGGGCAAGGAGGTGGATCCAATTTACGACTAAAACTTCCGCTTTTCTTTGTGATGATATCTGCATCAAGGTATATGTCGGTAACAATCTCTATGTAAGATTATCGTGTTCAAGATCCTGATGTGCATTAAAGTATTTAATCTTACATCAAACTGATAAGATATATAACCTGCGAGGATTCCACCTACTACCCCTTTGACATCAAACAACGTTGATAAGTTACGAGATTCCTCATTGGACAAGTATCGTCACAAAAGGATCAAGATACACTTGCATAATAGAGTAAGAAAACAACAACACACCATATCTAACATGAAAAACATAGAACAGTTAGCATGCTTGTGTGGCTAATGTAGTAGTAGATAAATGTGTAAGACACCAAAAAAATGCAAAAAGCAAATGGCGCAAATCCTGGAATCCTCCATGCTTCTCTAAAACCCACAGTTGATTCCTCTTCTCTGTTTGATCTCGAGAGAGGTTTATTCAATTACTCGTCTTCTTCACCTGGAGATAATACTTCATCGTTATTACCTAAAATAGATTTCGGATGAACGGGTAACAATACGAATACTATCATGCTACTAAAAGTAATAAGGATACTAGGAACAATCATTGGCCGACCCCATTTGTCGTATTTCAATAATATTGATGCAACGAAGTAAGTACCCGGTAAGTTTCCCAATAGATGTATGAGCATTCTAAATACCCATTATAAGCCACCTTTTCTTTGCAAAATCAATTCTAGGTCATTGCAACTACTGAAGGACATCCATCAACCATTTGGATAGTCAGATAGTAATAGGAACTATGGACGTTTGCCCAATATCCAAGTCTAAAAAGAGTTGCGAATAAACCTATTCGTTCCCAATGTTTTCACTGTAGAAAAAAAATATCGAATCCATTTTATAGGCTATGTGCCCTGAGATATACATTTTGATGGTAGACAAAAATAGGAAAGCCACATCAAGATTACCATTTCCATCAGGGCTATTAAATGGAAACCAACCACCTCTAAATGATATACTATTACGTACCTTGCCAGGGTAAATTAGGACCAATCCCATGGGATTGGGGATCAAGTGCTTGTGGTTTTTCAATTAGCATGGTAAACAAAATCTATATGAAGTGGATACATTAATCAATTACCATAAGAATTTTCTGTATCAAATATGTAACTGTTAGCTTGGAAGAGAGGTTTAATGTGAAGGTCCAAATATGATTTTGGCATATAGAAGTGCACACCACTCGACATAGGATAAATAAAATACCACTAAAGAATATAAAGGCAGGCATTTTCATTAGCTAGAGAGACACCTCGTCAAATAGATACTGTAGCATGACATTCCCTCTATCGAGCCTGCACGATATAAGGATCTTCGATCCTTTCCGACAGTAATGTTTAAAAATGCACAAATTAAGTTCTAGAGTGATGAGGAGGCAATCATGTAAGCATATTCTCACAAGAAGAAATATGGTAACTGCAGTAAGTGAGAG